AAAAGAAAAAGAAATTTTCAACCAGTAAAAACTACAGTAGATGGTGAAATCTACTTAAGATTTCCAGTCTTTCTGAAATGTGATCACCACTAATGTATCTGTGTATGAAAGAATCTCAATCTGAATCTCTCTCTCTCTCTCTCTCTCTCTCTCTCTCTCTCTCTCTCTCTGCACTGTATATGGTGATGCTATATACTATATACACTATTAATGATGGCAGGACAGTATTCCTGTACACACTGTTGCTTCTAGTACAATAAAATTCCAAATTGTAAATAGATGTGTATTACTTTTCATTTAGTTAGTCATTTATATCTTGTTCTTAATAACTTTTAAATGTAAGCATCTGTTGCAGCGATTATCTTCCTACACACTGCTTTGTATATTTTAATTTAGTACATCTCTAAGCTACTTCTTCAAAAAGTAATTGCTCAAAAGAGACATAAATTTTAAATTTTAGTAGATATTTACAGTTGGTTCTCCAATGAAGCACAATTGTATCAAAAATGTTTATTACAAGGAATGCTACAAAGTGAGGAAGAAAACTATTTCATATATATCTTTCTGTTATGCCTCCTTAGAACATATTTCTAAGATTACAAATACTTAAGTTATTTAAGTCTAAAAGTGAATAAATAATCTTTGATATTAGTCAGTTATGCTCACCATTTTGGATTTATAAATATCACTACTTGTTATATTTGATTGTTGTTAATTCCACGTTTCAGACTACTCAAAGCCATATGCCTTGCAATTATTTATTTTAGTATTGTAATAGAGAAACAATCATGAAGGGTGACCAATTTTCCTCCTTCCAGTAGAAACTTTTATTTCCTTATTTTAGAGCTGTATAATTTATATAACTTTAATTTCAAAGTAATGAACAATTATTTAACTTTTCATTTAGATCCCCAAAAAGTTCATTTATTAACTTGGAGTTTACTGACTTCTTATTTATTACTGTCACAAAAGTATTTCTTAGATCCAGTTTAGGAGAAGACTGAAATTCAACATTAGAATTCCATAATCATAATTCACCATTTAAGATAACAAAAAGAAATGGAAGCTCTGCTGGCATGAGGTTTCAATAATGATGTGAAGGCTTACAGTAGTTCCCCCCAATTTTTTTTTGCTTATAATTCACATTAGGTTGTTTCATGAGGGATCACAATTCTTGTCTCAAGCACTGTAAGATCCTAAAGATACTACAGAACAATTCATAAATAAAATGTAATAAAATACTTTAAGTAATGTCTTTAACATAAGAATTTCTTTAAGAATTTATAAAGCACTAAGACAAGAATTCTAGATAATAATAAGTATGAATTCATAAAATATATAATCCATTTCAAGTGACAATATGCTAACTACAGTTTAAATTGAAATTTTAATATACAGGTATCATCATTGCTATAATTTGAACTAAATACTGCCAAATATGTTTTAATATTTAATATATATTTATTATGGTACTAGCTCATGAGCTAGTCATAAAATGCCAAAATCCATTCACAAACATTTGGACATTCTCTATTTTATACATCTAACTCAATCAAATTATGTTTAATTTAGTATTAATAACCTTAGTTCTGGAAATTCCTATTTGATCAATAATTTTAGATTCTAGTGCCCAAATTCTTGTATGTAATTATTTTTGGTTACTTATGCATCCTGTGAAAGCATGAATGCATATCATATAACTATATGTTGCCTAGTACAGATTCAAACATGTTTTTTCATGTGAGTAAAAATTTTGGCTTAAATTTTATCATTATTACATGATTCACTTATATCTTTTCTAAAAATAATCAACACTTCAAGCAAATAGAACTCTAAGGCCTAAAAATAGAGGATTCTCCTTATTTCTTTGATGTTTTCCCTCCTATATTCTATTCTAGTCTCTTCACATTAAGGTGTTTTTTCAAAATTCACTCTCCTGCAGTGCAGTTTATAGAGACACCTAGTGGTAAAAGGTAATGGTGGCATCTATGGCAGTCCTTAGTGTTGACTTGATGATAGAAAGTTTTCATCATTTATTAATTTGAACCACAAGAGGCAATCTGGAATGTTAGTGCTAGCATTTCTAACAAAATTACAAGCTAAGTTAATTCCAAACGTGCTTATTTTATATAATTTTATTTTAATCAGGACAATAAACCTTTAAAAATAATACAAAATTTTAAAAAAGCAGATTTTATAAACTAATTGTAATGAATGGAATTGTGAGAATTTTGAAAAGTAGCAAAATAATTAAAGTAGCTTTATCTCAGCTATTTTGGGAATCCTGGTAGTAAAAACATTTCAGGACATTTTATAATTTCCACAGAGTTAATCAACATTAAAAGCTATTAAAAAGAACTTTTTAATAGAACTCAATATTCCTATGCCAAAGGTTTCTGTGATTAACATTTAATTTTAAAATGATATGTTTTTGTTTTGAAAACATAAAGGTGGCTTTATATTTAAAAGATTTTCAAAAATATTTAGAAGATAATAAATAGGTAAAAATAAATTAATAGCCTTTTTGTGGATAAAGTTTAAGTTGTCTGTTTATATAAGGTACCTATAGCAGTGGCTGTCAGTCCTAGACCAAATGTTTCTAAATTTAACAGGATGTCCTAGGATATATTTCCAATATCTGATATCACAGATTACTTCTTTTCTCCCTCTTGTTTGTACAAGATCCAAACTTAACTCAAAAGAAACAATATTGTAAATAAAGAATTTATGCCTTAGTTTTAAAATATTTTCACAACAGATTCAGAGGAAGTTTTTAAAATGTTACAAAATCTCAGGAGATTGCCATATTTGCCTCCTCTAGACAAATATTTCTAATTCAACATATATAAGTGATGTGGAAAGACGTTATGTTTCCACCTAGTCTTCATTAATATTAATCAAATGGTTAATTTGATTAATTATTATTATCCCAAATATTACTAAGAATCAGGGATTAGTTATGTTTTAAGACATAATTCCAAAATAAAACGTACAGAATATATTTACGTGATAAAACTACTCAATTATCAAAGAACATGCACATGTGCTCTCAGCCTGCACTGAGCCACTTACTATGATCAGCTTTTCTTATATTCCTGGGATGGACTGCAGGCCTAATACTGCAAACACGGAAAACATCTTATGAAGGTACAAAACCTCCTTTTGGAGAGGGAGGTAACTGATTTCATGGAAAGAGCCAGGGATACTTACTGTAGAGACGTCGCTAGTGGAGTTTAGCAGGTGATGCTTCAAGAAACTCGCTATCGATACTGCATCTATTTAGGGGTTTTCCAGCTTTATAGTTCACACGAAATGTATTCACATTCCCTGTGAAAGTCGTTCACATTCCCTTGATCTGCCCAGACATACTTATAAAACATAAGTCTTTTTAAAAAAGCAAAATAAGGGGGGGGGGGGGAAGGAGCGCCCTCTTTACAGTTAGAATAAGCCACTCCCTCTTCCAGGGTTTTTTACAGTATGTACATGAGACAGCAGCATGGGCTCTATTATTCTAAATGGCAGAGGAAGGCAGGCGAACATCGCAGGGCTGGAATCATCTGTCCCTGACCACCACCAAGCTTAGCACTGTCAGGGTTATTCCCACTCCTCCCTTTTCCTATACTAGAATTGCACACTCCCACGCTCCTATTACGCACATGGTCCAAGACTCCGCGGTCTCCCACGAATGTGACATCCAAGGGGTGCTCCGGCTGCACCGCGGGAGCCAAGGGACGCCTTCGCCCTCGGCTGCCATCTATCGGTCACTTAGCGCTCGCTTCGCCCCGGGCCCATCATGTCTGCTGCAGCTTGGCTCGCACCAGCGGCGCGACAATAAACAAGTGCACCGGACGGGGCCCTGCACCCGCTACGGAGCAGATGTCTCAGAGACCCGGACGATGCTTACCGCGTTGCCACCTCCTCAACGCCCGGAACAGAAGACGCGACTTTCTCTGAGTTTTTAGAACCGCCAGGCTGCCAGGACACGCCACAGGCGTAGAACAACGCTGTTCCTGCCCCTCAGACCCCCCAAAGGATGTCGGAGATAAAGAGTTCCAAATAATGACGATCGTGCGCCGCATCTGGAGAAGGGATAGAGAAAAAACCCTGCAAACACCGGGAGCGATGAAACAGCCGAGAGGATGCTGGAGCCGTTCAAATACTAATTAGGGGCCGGGGCGGCTGCGGGATCGGCTCTCAGGGACAGCGGCGGCGGGATCTCAGCTCGGTGGTCGCCTCGAGGGGGGCGGAGGACGGCTTTGGAGCCGCAGCCGCCGCCGCCGCAGCCAGACCAACCGAGGGGCCAGTACCACCTTCTTTCGCCCCCTCACTACCATGTACAGTGTGCGCTGCAAGAAGAAGGCGGGCTATGCATGCACACCCTCGAGCCCCTCTCTCTCTGGCTCTTCCCCGGGCGTGCGCCACTGACCAGAGGGAAATGTGGTGAAGACCGCGAGGAGAGAGCCGAGGGGGGGAGGGGAGGGCCGGCCGGCGCGAACCCAGGCCCGAGGGTGCGAAGAGCCAGAGGTAGCTGGAGGGGGCGGCGGCCACTGCTGGGTCGGAGAAAGTTGCCCCCCATGCAGATGGGAACTGTAAGTACCCACCTTGGGGGGGAGTGCGGCGAAGGGTGCCTGGGACCCCGCGATCGCGCTGTAGCGCGGATGGGAATGAGTGTGAGAGTGAGCGTGAGTGTGAGCTAGTGCGAGCGCTCGGCGAGGCTGACCGTCACGTTGGCGGGGCCGGCAGTGCAAAGCAGCCTTCTCTGCGCCCCCCTCCTCCTTCTCCGCGCCTCCCCTCCCAACAGCTCCCCTCCCCGCCCCGCCCGGCTCCTGCTCCCAGCCCCTACCGCGAGGCGCCTCTCCAGCCCGTCCTTCGCCGCCCCCTCCCCCGCTCTTCCCATCCCACCGCTCGAGATCTCCCCCCATTATCCCCCCCCCCCAACCCCGCTGCCCGTTCCGACCGCCGCGGAGAGCGCTGGGGAGAGCCTTTTGGGGAGCCCCGGAACCCGCGGTCGCCACCGCGGCGGCGGCCCGGGGCTGCCGGCGTCCGGCCACCTCTTTCCTCCAGCGGCTCGGACTGCACTGAAAACTGCCTTCTCTTTCTGCCTGGGCTTTAGCAAAACCGTGCACACCCCAAAGAGGTATTTTGTTAAGGGTAGCTATGATGAGTGGGCCCTGGAGATGTGAGACGGGGTAAGTCTGTCATTTACTTTGCAAAAGAGGCTTGCGTCTGTGTGTGTGTGTGTGTGTGTGTGTGTGAGAGAGAGAGAGAGTGTGTGTATGTGTGTGTGTGTATAGCGGGATGGCTTTCTTTCCTTCTACTCCCTCCCCTTTTTCCTCCCTTTACCCTTCCTTCGCTTTGGGGCGGGGTGGGGGAGGGGGAGCCTCGCGTCCTGGAACTCCCGGTGCTTCTGCCTGGGCGACGGTTCCAGCAGCTGTGCCCGGAGCCTCGGGTCCGGCCTGGGTGCTGGGCTCCAGCCCGAATGGCTCCATGCTGCTTAATGCAGGGATGTGCTAGGTGGTGATCCAGCGTCTAAATTCTTTGGGAGAGAACAAATACGGTACCCCCGCCCCCGCCTTCCAAAAAATTTTTGATCCTCGGAGGATGTGCCGCGCACCCTGGAAATTACAGCGATGGTGCGTTTCCCAGTCGGAATGTCAGCCTTCCCCGGCTCATTCAACTTTATTTTCTCAAATTTTCTGTCTCCTTTGATGGCAATGGGGAGAGGAAAGGGAGTGGAGCCAGAGGAAGCTCTTCGACCCTTGCTAACCAGAACTGAATTAAAGTTGTAAACGCTCGACTTTAATACTGGCTGGACACAATTTGCTATGGGCTTTCTGATCGGGAAGGAGGTGAATGGGGGCGGGGAAGCGGAGGGAGGGAGGGGGAGGGGACACAACCCAGCTGAATGGATGTGCAGATTTGATCCAGCGGAGAACCGAAATTTCAAGGTAAACGTTTTGCTTTCATGGGGGTGCTTTAAGCTGGGAGACGTTTGCCATTGTGATGGGAGGTCGGGAATACTAGCGATTTTTTTTAACACTGTGATCCCGATTCGTCTCGACACGTCTGAGTGGCCAAACGTGAATGATTCACAGGCACACTTGCACATGTGCGTGTGAATGCAGGCGCTTTTAATATCGCGGACTGGAGTCGACTTGGAGATCAAGAGAGAGGTCTCTAAGCTTGAACCTGTGCGTCAGAAACATCTTGGCTTAGTTTTGGTTAGGAGTCGACACCAGACTTAAGTGGTGAGGCAAAAGCAATGTTGACTAGAGAAAAGGCATCGGTTCCCAGAGCCCAACGTTTCTATCAAATGCCTAGACCCCCCCCCCCACTCCGCCGCCGCCGCCCCCGCCAAACCCCGCCGCTTGGCTAACCGAGGCAACACGCACTCACACTCACTCCATTTATGTCCTCCCTTTAAGAGTGTTGCTGTAGAACAGAAGTAAGAAGTGGAAGGAAGCATTCAAGGGGACAAAAAGAAAGAAAAGGGGGAGGGGGTTGGATTGATTCCTAAGGGAGATGAAATCTCGGGTATTAGAGCACTGAGCTATGTCACTTGCTTTTCTCCCTTCCACCTCTCTATTTTGCCTCTTGAAGAACCCCAGAGTCCCATTCCTGAGGGAGGGTATATTGCAAATGTAATAAGCAACTCCAAAGATGGAGATGTTAGCGAGATGGTAGTTCATTCCAAATCTTGCTAATTTAGTAGGGTTAGTATTGCATACCGTGGCAAACAGATGCGGAGCCCGAGGTAAGGGAGGCTTTGTCGTTGGTCCCTGGTTTACTTTTAGCTGATTCCGGGTAAGCGGTAGGAATGTCCTCTTTAAACTCAAGGTATTCGGAGGTGTTCTGAGATTGCGGATGCCTTCGCTGAGTTCTTTGTAATCCATCGTGCACAACTATTTCAGTGGCTTAAATATGCGGTTTGGTAGCGTTGCTGACAGGATCAATGAGGAGAAGTGGTCGCAGGGCGCTCTCAGGGAAGCGCTGCAAAGTGGCACTGTGCATGCAATTACCACGCTTGATGGTGGTAGTGAAGTCCACCATCAAAGCGAATGCGCTCCCTTTTTTCTCCATACTTAGAGCTCTAGAAGACAATTGGTGATTTAAGAGCTTCTTCTGTCTCCTTTTGAAGCATTATCTTGCATTCTTTTTGCCTCTGAAAAGTATCTTTAGCTTTCCACCTTGGCATTTCTTGCTGTGGTTTAAAATAGTCCAAGAATTGTGAGTCCTTGCTTTTCTATGAAAATGGGAGACCTACATGGTGAACTGTTAACCGAAGGGATTCTGAAAGAAAGAGAGGAAGGTGGGGGGTGCTCCATATAGGTGAGGAGGGGAACCTTGTAAAATGATGCTTCTTTTCTCTTAAATTAGAACCACAAAACTGAACTGACAGCCATTTTATGTATATTTATGGGTTGATTTTGTAAAGGGGGAAGTACAGAAGAACACTAAAAAGGGACTTTGCCCTCATCTTGTGCAGTACTTCTGTGATATACTCATTAGAAAAATGAAATGAACCTTTAAATCAAAATGAATATCAATTTTTAATATAGTCTGCTGAATTTCATTGTTCCAATAGGGCGGGGGTGGGAGTTGACTTTCCTATCCCCTCTTGTATTTCCCAGAAATAGTATCAGGGAAGAGAGACTTTCTGATTAATCTCTTAATTTTTTGTCATATTCTGTTGTTTCCTTGTTTCCTCTCTCCCTTGCAGGAGGTAAAATGCACACTTGCTGCCCCCCAGTAACTTTGGAACAGGACCTCCACAGAAAAATGCATAGCTGGATGCTGCAGACTCTAGCGTTTGCTGTAACATCTCTCGTCCTTTCGTGTGCAGAAACCATCGATTATTATGGGGAAATCTGTGACAATGCATGTCCTTGTGAGGAAAAGGACGGCATTTTAACTGTGAGCTGTGAAAACCGGGGAATCATCAGTCTCTCTGAAATTAGCCCTCCCCGTTTCCCAATCTATCACCTCTTGTTGTCTGGAAACCTTTTGAATCGTCTCTACCCCAATGAGTTTGTCAATTACACTGGGGCTTCAATTTTGCATCTGGGTAGCAATGTTATCCAAGATATTGAGACTGGGGCTTTCCATGGGCTTCGTGGTTTGAGGAGATTGCATCTGAACAATAATAAACTGGAACTTCTTAGAGATGATACCTTTCTTGGCTTGGAGAACCTGGAATACCTACAAGTCGATTACAATTACATCAGTGTTATTGAACCCAATGCTTTTGGGAAACTGCATTTGTTGCAGGTGCTTATCCTCAATGACAATCTTTTGTCAAGTTTACCTAACAATCTTTTCCGTTTTGTGCCCTTAACGCACTTGGACCTGCGGGGAAACCGGCTGAAACTTTTGCCCTATGTGGGGTTGTTGCAGCACATGGATAAGGTTGTGGAGTTACAGCTGGAGGAAAACCCCTGGAATTGCTCCTGTGAGCTGATCTCTCTCAAGGATTGGTTGGACAGCATCTCCTACTCAGCCCTGGTGGGGGATGTGGTTTGTGAGACCCCCTTCCGCTTACATGGCAGGGATTTGGACGAGGTATCCAAGCAGGAACTTTGCCCAAGGAAACTTATTTCGGACTATGAGATGAGGCCTCAGACGCCTTTGAGCACCACGGGGTATTTACACACCACCCCAGCCTCGGTAAATTCCGTGGCTACTTCTTCCTCTGCTGTTTACAAACCTCCCTTGAAGCCCCCTAAGGGAACCCGCCAACCCAACAAGCCCAGAGTGCGCCCCACCTCTAGGCAGCCCTCTAAGGACTTGGGCTACAGTAACTATGGCCCCAGCATCGCCTACCAGACCAAATCCCCGGTGCCTTTGGAGTGTCCCACTGCGTGCACTTGCAACCTTCAGATTTCAGATCTGGGCCTAAATGTAAACTGCCAGGAGCGCAAGATCGAGAGTATTGCTGAGCTGCAGCCCAAGCCCTACAATCCGAAGAAAATGTATCTGACAGAGAACTACATCGCTGCTGTGAGCAGGACAGACTTCCTGGAGGCCACCGGACTGGACCTCCTGCACCTGGGTAACAACCGTATCTCAATGATCCAAGACAGCGCCTTTAGGGATCTCAGCAACCTGAGACGCCTCTACCTGAATGGCAACAGGATAGAGAGACTGAGCCCAGAATTATTTTATGGCCTGCAGAGTCTTCAGTATCTCTTCCTCCAATACAATCTCATAAGGGAGATTCAATCTGGGACTTTTGATCCAGTCCCAAACCTCCAGCTGCTATTCCTGAATAACAACCTTCTGCAGGCCATGCCCTCAGGCGTCTTCTCTGGCCTGACCCTTCTCAGGCTCAACCTGAGGAGTAACCACTTCACCTCCTTGCCGGTAAGTGGAGTTTTGGACCAGTTGAAGTCACTCATCCAAATCGACTTGCATGACAACCCTTGGGATTGTACCTGCGAGGTGGTGGGCATGAAGCTGTGGGTTGAGCAGCTAAAAGTGGGCGTTCTAGTAGACGAAGTGATCTGTAAGGCTCCCAAGAAATTCGCAGAGACAGACATGCGCTCCATTAAGTCAGAGCTGCTGTGCCCAGACTATTCGGATGTGGTGGTTTCCACACCCACACCTTCCTCTATCCAAGTACTAGTGAGGACCAGCGCCGTGACCCCTGCGGTCAAGTTGAACAGCACTGGGGCCCCGGCGGGCTTGGGTGCCGGCGGAGGTGCATCTTCCGTGCCCTTATCGGTGTTGATCCTCAGTCTTCTGCTGGTTTTCATAATGTCCGTCTTCGTGGCCGCGGGGCTCTTTGTGCTGGTCATGAAGCGCAGGAAGAAGAACCAGAGCGACCACACCAGCACCAACAACTCCGACGTGAGCTCCTTCAACATGCAGTACAGTGTATATGGTGGCGGCGGTGGCGGCCCAGGCGGCCACCCACACGCGCACGTGCACCATCGTGGGCCGGCTCTGCCCAAGGTGAAGACGCCCGCGGGCCACGTGTATGAATACATCCCCCATCCATTGGGCCACATGTGTAAAAACCCAATTTACCGTTCTCGAGAAGGCAACTCCGTGGAGGATTACAAAGACCTGCACGAGCTCAAGGTCACCTACAGCAGCAACCACCACCTGCAGCAGCAGCAGCCTCCGCCGCCGCCGCCGCAGCCCCAGCAGCAGCCCCCGCCGCAGCTGCAGCTGCAGCCAGGGGAGGAGGAGAGGCGGGAAAGTCACCACTTGCGGAGCCCCGCCTACAGCGTCAGCACCATTGAGCCCCGGGAGGACCTACTGTCGCCGGTGCAGGACGCCGACCGCTTTTACAGGGGCATTTTAGAACCAGAAAAACACTGCTCCTCCACCCCCGCCGGCAACAGCCTCCCGGAATACCCCAAGTTCCCATGCAGCCCCGCTGCTTACACTTTCTCCCCCAACTATGACCTGAGACGCCCCCATCAGTATTTGCACCCGGGGGCAGGGGACAGCAGGCTGCGAGAACCGGTGCTCTACAGCCCCCCGAGTGCTGTCTTTGTAGAACCCAACCGGAACGAATATCTGGAGTTAAAAGCAAAACTAAACGTTGAACCGGACTACCTCGAAGTGCTGGAAAAACAGACCACATTTAGCCAGTTCTAAAAGCAAAGAAACTCCCTTGGAGCTTTTGCATTTAAAACAAACAAGCAAGTAGACACACAAGGTGAACACATTTGATCAATTGTGTTGTTTCAACGTTTAGGGTGAAGTGCCTTGGCACGGGATTCTCAGCTTCAGCGGAAGATTCAGAAAGGGTGTGCAATTTCCTTTACATTTTACATGTGGGAAACGTTTGTGTAAACTGGGCACATCACTTTCTCTTCTTGTGTGTGGGGTGGAGGAGAGGAGAAGGGCTTTATGGAGGGCAGTTTGCTGCAAGGGTGACTTATGTTAAAGGTCGCAGTGGTTTTTTAGTGGTTGGAAGTGCTAAGAATGGTGGAAGATGACAGCCCATAGATCCTACTATTCCTCTTTTGCTCCCTCACTCCTCCCTTTCTCCCCCTTTAAGCCATGGGTGGGTCTAAATGGCTTTGGTGGAGAGACTAGCACACCCCAACTTTAATAGAAAGTTTGTTCTCTCTATTCTTCTCCCTCCCTTTCCACCACCCTTCTTATTCCTTTCCTTTGTTTTTAAAGGATGTGTTTGTATGCATTCTGGACATTTGAATTGAAAAACAAAATATTGTGATCTAGAAAAGGATCACTATAGATGTGGACAAATCATTAAAATTACAGAGCTATATGATCCATAATTGATTAGTCAAAATAACTTATTGATGAAATATACAAATATTTTATTGTAGCACCTATTTTTATATGCACATTTAGCATTCCTCTTTCCTTCACTATTTAGCCTATGATTTTCACAGAGGTATCGCATTGTGTCAGGAACTGCATTACCAAGACTGAAGTGATATCAGGAAGGCATTTTAAATCATTCAAAATGTGGAGCACTTAATGGCAAAAATCTTTAAAAGCCAATGCAGCCACCCAATTGGACCTGTAATTTTTTAAAGCTGATTATATCCCATTGTATAAAAGAAAAAAAAATAGGGCAATTAATTGGGCCGTTCAAGAGAATTTTGTGCAAGTTTTTGGTTTCATTAGAGAAGATTTAAAAATATTTTTATTAGTGAACCAAAACGATGTATTGATTTGACTACTATTGTAGCCGATTTTCGATTGTTTAACCAAACCCAGTTGCATTTGTACAGATCCACATGTACTGGCACCTCAGAAGACCAAATGATGGACTGTACGAGTATCTATACAATGTCTTTATCCCTCTGGGCAGCAAGCAATGATGATAATGAAGAACAGGATCTCTGTAAGATGGGGCTATTGTTGTTAAAGTCTCATATGTATCCCAGCACATGTAATTTTTTAAATAGTTTCTGAATAAACACTTGATAACTATGTCAAATATGAGGGATTGAAGTAATGCTTACTTGAGGTGCAAAAGACCTAGCTATGTGTGATTGGTGGAATCTCCAATATTAACAATTTAAGAAATAGTTGCTAAACTTCATTCATAACAGAAATTCCCATAATTATGTTTCAAATATATATGTATGTATATACATATATGTGTATATATACGCGTGTATATATATATGTGTGTGTATATATATGACTTTGTTGGTTCAGGGAAGTATGTTCTTCAGAATGTGTCAGTTAATATGTTTATTAATGACATTTCAATTGTATATGCTGTTTCCTCACTGAGTATTCAACTAATGCATGGAACATGGTAAGTAGTATACTATATTTTCATTTTTCTCAATATCATGTATGTCATCATATCAATATTATTTATTCAATTTACAATTTTCTATAATTTCCAAATATTAACTTAATGTAAACTGTCTTCAACAGTTATGATCGATACTCTATCTAAAGTTTATTAATGCCCTGAATGTTCAAGATGTTATTGGGTATAAGCTGTTCACCTCTGAGTAAGGTTTGCTGGTGATTTTCATTAGTTTAATGACAAGAAATGTTTGACTTAATCTGAAACTTTAAAAGCCCTGTGTATCATTTCTTTGAGTGGATCTCCCCATAACCTCACCTGGAATATGTGCAATATCAAGGGCTGTTCATGAACTTCACCTTTAAGGAACAATTGCCATGGCATTCTGCCACAAAGAGGCAGCATTCACCCATGAGTAAATTGACAGTAACTACTTGAATTCAGATGGAACAGGTGGTAAGTTTCCTTGAAGGATTAAAAAAAAAAATGTAATGCTACTTTGACCAAGTACAGTAAACTATCCATATTCTTTGCAACATTTTTCCTTCCAATTTTTTAAGGGGAAAAGAATAAGCTTAATAATGCCATGATATTATCTTGAAAAAAAATGTATCTCTTACTCTTCATCTACCTCCTCTATATAAAATATGAGATTAGAAAAGAAGAAATAAATAGTAACATTTGAGTACATATCTGGGATTGTTACTAATTTTTCCTCACAATGGGAATTATTTTTCCTTTTAAAAATGTATCATTTCCTCAACATTATTATATATAAATATGAACGTGTTTTATAAATTCTAAAATATCAGTACAAATGTAACTAGACTTTATTTCTTAATTGATATATAAAATGATAAGGTAAGATTTACACAAAGCTAAAGATGTATTTATGGAAAATATAAGTAATTTCCAAAGAAAGTTCATTAATGTATTTTTCAATGATTTATAAACTTTTATTTTTAAAATCAGTACAATTCCATATCATCTTTCCAAATATTCTCTTTAGGAGTTTTGTTCCTCTTTATTCTTCCTAAGGTACCCAACATGTTTTAAAGTTGAAATATAACATTACATGATTTACTAACTGAATAACAGAGGTTACTTTCAATTTTTATATTTTCCCAAATGTATAAGGGGGATAAACATAAATTCATGGTGGATGAAAAAAAAATTTCCTGTCAGAGTCATGAAACTGTATTAAATGAATCATGAAATTGTACAAAATGAAAAATTTATTATTTTTCACTAAGTAAATAGACTGGTTATATCACTGGTACATTACTAGATTAAGGAACCCAACAAAATCTCTCCATATAAATTTGGGTAATTATTGTGGTATTTCAGGCATCAATTAAAATTCAAATATGAACTATACTTATTCTTTGTGCTTTCTCTATTTAATATGTTGCATAATCATATGTAAACATAGTTCCAGGTAGATATTATGAAGCATCATTTTATCTCTGTATGATTATTGTGTGGCTATTTAAATTATCTCAGATAAATTAAATATATTTAATGTAGATGAAGATAATTTGTATACCTATATAAAAATGATTTACATTGTTTATTTAAGTTATGAGTTACACAACTTCAGCAAAAATATCATAATTGGAGCACATGCTGTTTTTAGGTAAGATTATGATCTTCACACATGTAAGTGGAAAATTTTGGCAACTGAGCTGCATACTGAAGTCAGTTTCTTACCATTGTTCCCTTCACCCCAGTAGGGAAATTAAACTATATAGAACATCTAGGTAAATTGTGGGAAAAGTTACCTAATCTAAGACTGCAGATTCTCAATTTATATATGTGCTATGCTAGTTACTAGGATGTATTGTTGTAAAATTATTTAAATTAATGTGTATAATTCCCTTTCCCCACTCTATTATTTCAGATTCTTTCTGTACATCTCTGCCCTGATTCTCTTTCTGTACGTCTCTTCCCTCCCTCTTTCCTTCTCTTTTCTTTCATTATTTTTCAGTAGAGCAAGAGAAAGAGTGAGAATAGTTCACTCCTTGTTTGAAATGCCAAAGACTGGCTATTTAATTTCAAGGGCTCAGTGGATTGTTCCCAAAGTCACATGACTCCAAATTAATGAAAATAAACCAGACACAAGTATGCTTTCAATTCTGATGGAAATACACTCATTGCATTTTTCAGATGACTCCAAACTAAGATATTTGCAGGCATGGCAAAATTTTAAAGAATAAATTTTACACCAAAGGACAAGAAAAAAAATGAATAGAATTAACCCCCCCAAACCAGGCACATTTAATTAATTGACATTCAAAGGGAATAAAATGTTATGACAGTGGTAACTAAACTGTTATTGAAATGACTTTTTAACTTATGGTTAACATTCCCAAACCCCTTGGTTTGCAGATATTAGTCATGTGCCTAAAAACAATCTAACATCGATATATAAATAAACCTTATATTTATTAATATTTGATTTGATAGGGTACAGTTTATCATTAATTTTAAATCAATGTAGTGCCTTTTTATAACTTTAATACCCATGCATATTTCCATGAGTTTATATAACCTACATATATCATACAAAAGCAGATGGATTATGAGAGTTACCACATATGCAATTTTCATCCAGGGTTTGTTATTTGTATTCATATTTCTAAGACTTTCTCATTCATACTTTCATGTTTCATGCTTCAGGAATGTTAGCATGGGGGAAAGAAGAGTGGTGCAGTATTTTTGAAACAATTAAGCATTTATTTTTCTGTTTTCAGCAGACCACTTGGCTAAAAGACACAAGCCAAATATATCTCATGGAACTGTACGAGTATCTGTACCCAGTAAAAAAATTTTGTATACACTTTTTTTTAAGAACTACATTTAAGGTTAATTAAGCTTCAGTCATTTCAGTTATTTTCTATGAAATACTTTTGTAGATAAGAATAGAAATATTTTATAGAAAACTGATGTAATGCAAATATGAAATAATTTGGCATTTATATAGTCTCTTGTAAAAATGTGGTGGTATATTGCATAATGCAAAATGTGTTATACATTTTTACTAAACAGTAGGAAACTTATTTCATAAGAAAAGTAACACAAAAATATGTTGATTGGATATCTTCCAATTACTTCTTTGAAATTAGCTATCTCAATCAATAAACATGAATGAATATTATATGTGTCTATAAAACAAATATCTACCTGTTAAAATTCACATGTATTTCTAAAAGTTGAAGTTTTATGAACCAATATTTGATATTGGTCTGTTATGATACTGGTATCATGTTATGATAATTGTAACTAAACTGTTGTCAAAGTAACTCTTTAATGGATTAATTAATTTGTTTTTTTTTTTTGGGGGGGGGGTTGTAGCTTAACAAATGAAGAGATGAAAATTTTGGCTTCTTCTTGAATGTTCAATAATACCCTGGTGTACTTTGGACAAGTTCATTTGCATAGCATTCTTTTTAAGAAGTTTTTTTTTACATATCACCATACAAGTTCAACTCAAATTTAATTGTTATATTTTAATACTGAGCCATAGTTATATTCATATATATAGGTAGGAAAATGCTTTTAACTTTAGTGTGCATATTTTAGATTTTTACTTATAAATCAGTGATAATTTATCATGTTTTCAACTAAAATACTTTTGAAAGAATCTTATTTTGCTGTTCATTTAAAAACAAAACTTAATATGATATGTTGAATCCAAAATCAGTGTATATTTCAGTTGGTTCGGAGTCTATTTATATATAATACAAAAGGTAGTAATAAAACCAATTTAATTAATTAGCAGATTTCTTTGTCAGAAGCCATAATACCTTACCCAGCATGCTTCAATGAGAAGTTCACTGGAGTCATGCAGACTAAATTTTTAAATATAAAATATAAAGATCAAAATATGAAAATTAATACTTTATCAATTAATATACCTACAATAATATATATACATAAATTACCTACACAAAAATTATACCTATCTTAAACTATACCTATAGAAAATCTTGAAGTCCCAAATCAAAAGGGTAATTCTCTTGTGAAAAATTAATAATAATGGAAAATTTATAGCTATAATATTTACTTAAATCTGAGCTTTAATATGTTCTTTAAATCTCCACTTTAAATACAAAGTTTATAGCCATGTTTTCTTTATATCATTGAATTTTCCCCTTCCTGCAGTTCTCCTAAAATATACATATACACATATTGTTTTTATATTTTTGTTTGTCTAGCATTTAAGAATTGAATATTAAAATGCATAGTTATGGACAAGCATTGTTAAATTGCAATTATTTTTTTTCATTCAAAGAGTATCCCTCAATTTTATAATATCCCCCAGTTTTTAAAGCTGATGAATAGAATTTTCATATAGGTGCCTCCAAATGATAACACAGAAATTACTTATACATTTCAGGGAATATTCAAAAACATTCACCATACAGTCATTAAAATCCATTAAACCACTATAATGATCTTTTCATTATCAGTGATTCTTAAAGATGTTCAATTCTTGGATGAAAATTTTTTATCTTCCTAGAATTTTTTTAAATACTAAAGATAAATATTGAGTATTCAGATTAGTAATTTAATATATCTCTTCCAAAATTAACCAAAATTTTACATACGGAAAACCATTGACAAAATGTCTCTGTACGTTTTTAAAAATTGCTATTTCCAGTGGCTTGTATAGTCTTGGACTTTCCGTGACTCTATCTTCCTTTAATAATTTTTATCAGGGAATATAGTTTTTGAATAGCATGTACTTGGGTCATCTTGGCCCATTATGGCTTTTAGCTTACACTCTTCATTTAAAAGCTCTTTGTCTAAGGCATACTGAAATGATCTCTATTATTATGTTTAATTCTTGCAACTCAAATCATTCCCTCAAAAAATTTTATTTGAAAAAAAAGTTGGTGTAGTTCTTCAATTAATAAATTTACATGAATTTTAAGAGTAACTTCAGTCAAATTAATGGCATCTCCTCATAAGTGTTAAATTTAAAAAAAATAATTACATTATTCCTAATGTAACATTGAAGTTAGGATATAAACAGGACTTCATGTGAGCGAAGAGGTATGGATTTAAAATGCAACTTCTGACTTGTCACTCACAAATAACCATTGTAAATACAACAGATCTACAAAAGAAAAGTTGTCGATTTCTTTGTTACCCCGTTTAAAATAACACTCTGATTAACTGAGTGGCTCATATAGTTTACAAAATGCCATCCTTGTGTGCTTTTAAACATTAATGAAGTGCTTGACAATTGATGACCCAGAGTTAACTCCTGAAAAATCTGTTTTCAATTTTTCAGAGCAGGTTTACTTCCTTGTTTTAGATATAGTTGACTGTGTTTAGGCTGGATGAGTACCTTGGTATTTTCTTAACCTCACAACTTCATTTGAGCATTGGAGCTTCTGAGTGTGTTCAAATAAATTTTGTCCCTCTAATATTAAAAATTATGCATCGGAATCATAAATTTTCAGGTCTTGCTCTATGGAAACTTGGATTTTATCAATGCTTTATATGTAATATATGAGGTAGCAGATTTTATGTAGATTTATAAAGAAATCAAAATTAAATATAAAGATCAGAATGAATATTTTTATTTTAAAAGGGGAATTGATTTAGTATGTATTACTGTTCTGTTAGAATTACAAATGTCTTAATGTTAACGATTTACCATTTCAGGAGTCTCCCACAGATAAGATGACTGACATTTAGGTGATTTTACCAAATGCACTGTCTCCTGGACAGGGGCCTGGACCTCATAAGGGAACCAAAAACAGTAACTTAAGAAGTACACTTGGAAAATTATAATTGCAGTTTACACTAGAAACTTTTCCCAAAATGTCTAGCACTGATGTACCTGTGGTGAAATTCAATTCAATGAAAATATGTCAAACATCATGTGAGAAACAATTCTAGGCTGGAAGGTGTAACTTGAAAAGTATTATTCTATAGAATTAGGACCAAAAAATGTTTTTAAGGGATGATACAGAATTGCCAAGACTTTTTTCAATGTATTTGAATAGACTACTTGGTGGAAGAAATGTATTTTGCCATATTGCTGAATTTTTCATGATTTTTTTCTAAATGGTGTATATATATATTCCATATTTTTGTTTTATTTTATTTTTTTCACTTTTCTGAAACTGAAAAATGACATACACTGTAAAAAAATTTGAATTTTATAATTTGCCTCAAAATGTTAATTAGCTTTGTTACATAAATATACTATTAGTAAGATATTTGTTTTTACTATTGATTTGATCCAGTTATCACACAATCTTTATTTTTTCCTTCACTGAAAATGAAATATGTTGTGTGTGAAATAATGAAAGAGTAGCTAGAAATTATTTGCTGTTATTTTATATCATGGTAGCCAGTGGCTAAAAGATAAAACCATGGTCCTAGGATTCTGAATTGTGTTTCTTTTTCACCATAGACTGATGGTGTGACCTTTGACAACTTTGGGTTTCAGCAGTAATTCCATCCTGCTAAAATGAATACAATGAACTCAGTTTATGAAGATCAGAAAGAAATTTGTATTGCAAGTTTTCTCTACTGGGTGTTTCTCAATTGTGACCCTAAAATTAGCAACATGGTAATTAATTATCATTGTGGTTTATGCTATGCACCTACAAAAATCAAATTATATCTTTCAAATTAAAACCTCTTTTGTGGGTATAATATTTGTAAAATATTAGTTTCAAAGGTATCTTTAAAATTTTCCTTAACAATTTAACAACATTAAATGGTCACTTGTAGACAATTGCTTATAAATTTAAACTTCCCACAAAGGAAGTTTTTACTTTTTTACACAGTCTTACCATTTGAAATGACATGATTGAGCTTTCAGTGTATTTTTATAAACACGTGATCATTATTTATTCTTCTAAAATTTTAGAATACTTTCCAAATTAGGCAAAATTTGTGTTTTTTTCACATATGCTTATTGTATTTGCATTTAATAGATTTCGGAATTATGTCTGATATGATTTTTATTTTTCTTGTTTTAATTCAGGCAATACTGAGTATACTTATAATATTAAGGATCTTCAGATCATTTTTGCAGTTAGTTCAAAAAAGTACAATAAATGGATTATGTATTATTCCTTATTTTAATATTATAACTTTGGTAAATGTTCTATTACATAATGACTACTAATATAGATCATTTTAATTTCCTTTTATCTGGTGTGGTGTAAGTTTGGCTGTTAAACCAGTACTGAAAATATTTTTTTCTCAGTGTTCTCAAATGTCATTACTGGTGCAGCTTATTAGTCTCAGTGACAATCAGTTCTTCCTCAAATGCTTAGGGGAATATTTTTAGAGTTATAAACAGAGAACTCTAATAATTAGCATTTTAAAATAATCGCAATGGCTAATTCATTACAAAAGGAATAATGAAATCATACCTTCTATATTAATGGACAGAAAAACTCAATTACTTAAAACCAATATCTTAAATGACACTGGAATTGGAGGTATTAATACTAATAAAAAGATCTTAGTGAATATCATAGGCAACTTACAATATTTGTACTATACAATGTTTGACATTTGTAGTATACAGATTTTGTGTTTCTATTCCAAGCAAGAGGGTTAATCCAAAATTGCTTGGATTGTCATTTTCTTCTTTTTAAGTAACTGACCAAAATTCATCTAAATAAAAAGGGACTGACATAATTAGTATTTATTGTAGAAAATGGAGGAGGAAACAAGGGAGAATTGAAATGCTGGTTGTAGCTATCACCAGATCCTGGAACTGTGTCTTGCCTTCAACAGTCACTATCTTATTGAATTAGCAAATGTATATTTATAGATGTCTACAGACTAAAGAGAATTCAATGAATAGCATGTTCTTCCTGACACCATTTATCTCAGCATAAGCTATAAGAATGTTTAGAATGTCAGTAAGAATATTAGATGACTGTTAATACGTGGCATGCAGATTTATAGCATATCACTAGGGGTGTTACTATTGAATGTTAAATATAATGTACACAGGAAATATTTTTCAAATGGCTCCCTTTTAGTACATGTTTCCCAAAACAAAACTTTGGATAGTCGAGGAAAAATGGAAAATAATATTTGGGTACTTAAGGATTATCCCAATTTTTAAATTGTAATTCTTCATTTTGCTTATTTCTGGTTGACCAGTTTTGTTTAAATTTAATAATATGGAAATAATAGGTGTTACTCTGCAATCACTTTACTGTTTTAGGGCAGGTCTTAATGGAAATACTGGTGAAAATTTCAGACACATTTCAGCAGATATGCTACTGGTGTTTTCAAGCCTGGTGAGGTGTTTATCTATTTAGAAAGCTTTTCTGGGCACAATGTATTTTCCCCTGGGTATGAGAAAACCAGTTCATCTTTTTAATGAGAATGTTACCTCTAGGGAAAAAGTAATCCAGAAGGAATAATACATTCCTGAGGGCAGTTGCCTACACAGGGATACATTATTCTCTAAGGCTAACTGCATGTATATTTCAGTGGAGGGTTTTAATATTTTAAGATATCATTGCATTTTGTCATAAGGCACCCTGACTACAGGATACAGTATTTTTTAAAATTGTAGATTGACATATTTTTTTCTAAGCTTCTTTATGCACCAATCATAATTTAGGCAGTTTTATTTTTTTGTGAACATTTTAGCTGTCTTAATATTTGAAGTATAATGAAAAATTGCTTACATGCAATTTACATTTGTTTTAAACTTAGAAATGGAAAACAGAAAGCTTAAGTGAAGAATGCTTTATGAATTTCATTTGTCAATCCCAAATAAGCTGTGTACAATGGCCCACGTAAGTAATCCCAGCTACTCAGGAGGCTGAGGCGGGAGGATCTAAAGTTCAAGATCAACCTGTATAAGTTAAGAAAACTCTATCTCAAAATAAAAAATAAAAGGGGCTGGGGATGTAGCTCAGTGGTAGAACACCACTGAGATAAGTCCTCAGTAAAACACATATACACACACAAACAGAAAAGAAAGAATGAACACCAAATAGCACAATTTCTTAAGTAATTTTGATTTTTGATGACAAAATACACATTTTCATTCTCTCTGTCCAAAATTTATTAAACTTGATGAACACTTGGATGACAGAGTATTTTCCTATTTTCATCCCTTGTTTCAGAGAGTTTATGAGTTGAGAATGCCAAACTATTTCACTATGTGGCCACATCTTTTAATTTCTCAACATTGTATTGAATATTTATATATTTCATGAATCTAACCAATTACTTTCATCCATTTAAATACATTAGAAAACTACTACAAAACTTTGGATTCTAAATCTTTAGTTGTTTTTTTTTTTCTTTTACAAAATCTTTTAACTTTCTTTACAAAATAAAACCAATTGCATATATAATATATATTTAATACATTGAAATACAGTTACATTGTATTTCTTCTTGTAAAAT